GAGTGAAATAAGCCAGTCACACAGAGACAAATACTGTATGATTCAATTTACACACAGTATCTAACTCACAGTCATCAAACTCACAGAAACAAAGTAGAATAGTATTGGCTAGTGGCGGGGGGAAAGGGGCATTGTCTAATGGGTATAAAGTTTCAGATGTGCAAGATGAAAAGGTTCTGGAGATCTATTTCACAAGAACATACTCAGCACTATTGAACTGTACACTTAACAAATAATTAAGATGGTTCATTTTATACTGTTTTTTTACTACAGGTTTAAGAAAGACGAAGCACTGCCTAAAACCTCCTAATTTCACAATCTAGAGGTAAATTTAAGAGCTTAAAATTAACAGCACCAGGATAGCATATCTCCTGGTATCTCTACCAGTACTACCTTAGGTGTCTCTCCACCCTCAACCCATAGATTAAATATATTATTACCTACCTGCCGACCCAGGCAGCGGGGGCCTCTTGCTCTCCCACCCTCCCCCTCTCCCCTTCCCCTTCTCCCCTCTCCACCCCCCCTTTCTCCTTTTCCTCCTTCACTTCCTCCCTACCCAGGCTGGTTTCCTATAAGTAAAATTTGTGTCATACCTTATACCCATTTAAAGAATTTTCACTTTTATCATCTCATTTGATTTTCCCACCAGCCCTGTAAGGTCAGTGTTCTTTCCACTTTGCAAATTAAGATGCAGAGACCCAGCAATATTAAATGACTGCACCCACTGCCTTGTCAATCAGTGGCAGGGCCTAGCTCCACACCCCACACTTGACTTCACAATATAATACTGCCCCAGAGATTCTGTCTTAAGGGCCTGGATGGGAGCCAGGAGTCCAGATTTCTAAGAGATACCCCTTCCAGGTGTCCTGATGCACGAGATTAATGACCCGACTTGAAGAAACATGCAGCTGCCCTGCCCAGCACGAGGTGGGGCGTATGTGACCAGGGGGCTTTCTGCTTTTTTAACGTGCCCAGAAGAGGCAACGTAGTGACACTGACCTTCTATGAGGAAGTGGCTGTATGAACAAGGCACTCTCTCACCTGGGAGCAGCTAGAAAAGGCAAAGGAGGGAAAGCAGGAAGGAAGAGAGAAAGATGTAGGCGCACCCCATGCCATGGAAAATAATCCTGCCAGTGGAAATCCCAACCAGTCTTGGACATTCTCTTTGTCCCTTAGCATTTGGCACTTGGATGCTTGGGAAACGGGAGAAGCAGAGCTGGGCTCTATTTTCCATGTGAGGTGCACGGCAGGGGAGCACCTGACCGGAGTGAGTCATGGACAACACAGGGATCGGAGTGGGGGGACCTCCTGACTCCCAGGCCCGTGCTCCGGGCCCTGAGCCAGGCAGCGTCCCCAGCCCGGAGGTGCGAGGGTGAAGCTGTCTCCCCACCCGGCCCCGCGGAGCTGGGGGGTGTGGCAGGCTCTGCAGAAGCCAGGGGTCATAAGGACAAGCAAACCCTGCACAGGAGACCAAGCACTCCTCTTGCCAGGAAAATGCCCTTGTGGTTGAAATCGGAGGCCGGTGGCTAAGTGGGAGAGAGAGGTAAAATATGAACCGAAATGGTTTGAGTAGAAAGACAAGTGTTCCCTTTGTGACTATGCCGCATTTATTCTGCAACTAGGAGATAAAACGAGATTTCTGTGGGAAGTCTGTGTGGCTCTTTTTTGGAGGCCTTAAAAAAAAACCCAAATTTGTGCTAAAGATAAATGAATCAGATTCCAAAGAGCTAACTCTTATGACTACTAAAGAGACAGAATTTCCTTGAGACAGGCAGTGAAGTAGGACATCAGTCAGAACTTTCGAGAGAATTCTAGACTGAAGTACCTGATCCTGAGCCATCCTTCAAGGAGGGTGCCGCTCCTCAGAAAAATTACGAAGACATCGGGGCTAACTCACCAAACTGTGCTTCTCAGGCACCGGGGTCATGCAGGGCAACAGGCTTCTAGAAGAGAACCCCTAGCCGCCCGTGTGCTCCAAACAAGTCCAAGCCTGGGTCTCCGCCCTGTGCACCGGCACATGCTTCGCCGTGGCATGTTGGTGCTGGCCACTGCTGCCGAACCATGTGCCCCTGGGTGCGCTGCCTTCAAGGACCTTTCACGTCCCTGCCGCCCTCCTCAGCGGCTGCAGGGTGTCCCCGATCGCAAGCAGGCTGTGTTCCTGCTCTGAGGGGTCACCACACTCCCCCTCCCCATGCTGCTCCGCCCTGCTCCCCATGTGGCTCAGACCCCCGTCGGGTGGTGATTCTCACACACATGGCTAAGTGAGCCGCACGCCAACCCTCCACGTGGGTTTCAACCCTGGCAGAATCCTGGGAAACAGGGGGCACAAATGCCTCCCATCGCTGCACCTTCCATAAGTGATGCTTCCTCACCCTCATTTGTATTTGCTATTTTTAAATGGGACGACCCTGAGGACACAGTGCAGTCAAACTTCCAGCAGCCTGGGTTATTACTCGGGAATGGCAGGGGAGCCGGCGCCGCCCCCACACACACTAGTCGCTGCCTGTAGAGGCTCGACCTGAGGCCCTGCCCCCTTTCAGTCTGGTAGCTGCTCCTCCCCGCATCTGTCCCTCATACGACGGCTCCACGGACCATCACTACACCTGCGTGCTCGTGACTCCCAACTGCCTGGACCTTCGGTTCCTTCCATCCCAGATGCCAAAACCTGAACCCTGAGTCAACACAGCAACCCTCCGTGCTCGTTGCTGAGCCTGGGTTACTGAACACAATCCTCCAGCATTCCCTGAAAATCCTTACATGGGCTCTTACTCATCTCCTGCCCCGTAACCCACTCCCTTCCTCCTTGTTCGACAATGAAACCGAGGCCATTGGGTAGAAGCTGTACAAGCTGGTTCGCTGCTCCAACCCACCCCAGAGCAACCCTTTTCTTGCTCTGGAATCCAGCCCCTCCTGCTTCCTTAGGGTCTTCAGCTTCCGTGCTGGCCCTCAGCCCTCAGAGGACAAACCCGCGTGCTTCCGCTCTGCTGAAAATCAGTCCGTCCGCCTTGCGGTCTCTCTCCAGCCTTGTCCTCAGGCTGCACTTGCCCACAGCGCTCTGGCCCTCCAGTCGCTGAACCTGTACCCTGTCACTCACCAAATCTGCTCCTCAGAGGCCACCAGTGAACTCTGCCACAACTGGTGGCCATTTTCCGTCTTCAGTTTACCTGCCCTCTCTGCGGCCCATGGCTTCTCCTCATGCTCCTCTCCCCCTTGCCTCTCGTGGGCTCCTCCTCCTCTGCTCGCCCTTAAATGCTGACGTCCCCCCTGCGCTGTCGACGCTCTTCTTTTTCCTTTCCACTACTCTTCTACTACTTTTTTGCTTAACTATTGCTGAGACCTCCACAGTCCATCTCTCTTGCTAGATCTTCCTCCTACTGACCCAACTGATTGGATGTCTCCCCTGGGTGTCTCACTAGGTCCCCGATCCCAGGATGTCCACCGCCAAACTCCCCATTTTGCCCACCAACCCTGACTTGCTTCTTGACTTCCTCACTAAATAAATGGCTCTCTATAATCCACCTGCTGTCCACCCACTTGGCTTTTCCCAACCTATCCCCTTCCACCAACCAACTCCCTTACCACCTGGTCTCCCTGCTTCTAGTCTCGACTCTTCAAGATCATTTTCCATACAATTTACAAATGATCTTTCTCTGTGATCTTCAGAAAAAGTCCAAATTCTAACACAAAAACCTAACTGTATGACCAACCCGATATCCTTAATGATACAGCTCCTGTCTACCACCCCAATTTCATCTCTCATCATGTTCCCCAAATCTCCTACATTACCTTCAATTCCCAGAGTGCTCCATGTTTTATGACACCCCCAGGGTGTCTGTACTCACTGCTCCCCTGTGGAAACCCCCTCTGTCCCGCCACCAGCTTGGTAAACTACTCGCCTCTACCTTAGGTGTCACCTGATCTGGGAGGCCCTTTCTGCTCACTAGACCCTTTCCTCACCCAGAAACTCACCCACCAGGCCGAGTGAGCTGCCCCTCTTTTGCACTTCCACAGCACCCTGAATGTGCCCCAGCCTGAAATGTGGTTGCTGACTGACTTGCAGATCTCCCTCACTAAACTGTAACCTTGATGGGTTAGGGATGGAGCCACCTCGCTGCTCCAGTTCCTAACAGAGTACCTAATAATATTCAATAAATGTTTCATGAACCAATGAACAAACAGTGACAAATCATCTCTCCGATACCTAGGAGGAAGAATCATAAGCAACATCAAATGTTGGGGGGGAGCATCTTCAAATAGAAATCACTGTGTGTGCATGACAGAACACATAGGTTATGGAAGATTATTCACCTTATTTTGCCCTTTGCTTATGAGTCCCTGGGTCTTTCACCATCATGATTCCTTGTGTTCAGACTTTATTCTGCTTTTCCCACAGCTGTAGCTCCTCCATACCACACAATTTCTCAATATTCTTACTCAGTATTCAGAACAATATTCTCACAGCAGCTATTCTGAATAGCTAAGAATTCTTTTTTTATTTTTTAATTTAAATTTGATTAGAATAGCTAAGAATTCTGAAGACCAGAAGAGAACGGTCACTCCTTATGTTGTCAATTTCCATTCAGTCTTCTTGTCTCTAGATTCAGTGACCTCAACTCCATTCGCTACTCCGCACAATGGTAACACACTGGATCAGCACACTTATATTTTTACACTAAGTTACTAACATTTCAAATTAGATTTGTAATCGACACTCATAAGGGATTAATTATTAATATTCCTTTCAACAACTCCCCCTCCCCATCCAGATGCTGAAGGTTTGTTGTTTGTTGCTTTGACCACGTTGATACTGGTCCTCACTTTGTGGTCACCCTGCCCCCTCCCAAAATCTTTCTTTGCCAAACCTTGGTCATTCTGGTCGTTCTTCATTTTGTCAGCGTAATGAATTTGGAGGTCACCGGGGTTTTATTGTAGAAAAGCCACAACAATCCATGGATGATGTTAAAATGTTTTTAAGAATAAGCTTTAAAATAATTAGCCATTGGTCATTCCATAAGGCAGACATACCAAATAAATTTGTGTTCATCTTCAAAAAACAAAGTATTGTGAAATAGTTGTCACTGGGCATTAATTAGCATGTGTAGGAATTAGAAGATGTGAAATTAACAGGGACAGGCCATCTCTACGGTCATCCTTTCGGTGAGAAATTACGTCTCCAGCATCTAGCTGTCGTCCACCACCATCATGGCTATGTAGTCCTTGTAATGAATGGAATTCGATCCTGGGTCAATGGCAGCAGACAGCATTTCTTCCATTTCTTCCTGAGAAAAAGGCTCACCTGGGAAAGATAAGAAGGGAGATTCATCACTGACAATCTTCTGATCGTTTTCTTTCTCTTTCCACCAGCCAGCTTCATTGCCCTGCAGCTGCACAGGCCCCCGCTGGGTCGCTGGCTCCCCTCCCGGGGCCCTGGGGTCAGCACATCACGCCAGTCCAGAGGTTCCAAGAGCGTGCTGTCGTGCCCCTGGCAGATTTGGGGCTTATTTTACCTTGCAGACGTCATAGCTCAAGCAACCTATAAAATTGATCACTTGAGCCAACACAGCAGGAGAACATTAAGACATCCTGAACAAGGTTGTTTCTTTAAATTAAGGCTGTTGGGATTGCCTAAGGATTCACCTGAAGTCCCAGTTTTCTAGGGAGTCTAATCATTACGTTCACAAGGGTGTGAGGTTGGGACCACATGGTCTCGATGCAATTGCTGAAGAGCAGAGGCTTGAACTGCAACAACTGTGTCTCTGAATAGTCCCTAACCAGGTCCGGGCAACTTCATGATGCCCCCTGAGCCCAGGGACAGATGCCATTCATCCACTGTGTCTAAACAGCCCTCTTTGTTATAGTTTGGCCCAGTGTTGCTGTCAAACGAAACCAAAAGTGGCATAGAAAAATCTGTGGCTTTCGCTGGATTCAGATAGCAGCTGAGGATCATCTTGGACATTGGTTTCACCAAGATGAGAAGCAATCTCAGGATGAATGTTGGAAATGTCACCGACTATGTAAGAAAGAACTTTGTCCTGATATTAAGCAAAAATACAGAAACATCCAAATTGCCACCTTCCCCCCTAAAGAGTCTTCTCTGAGCAGATGAGTTACCAAGGCCTAAGGATCACTTACCTTCTGAGCTTGTCACCTGCCACCATGAACAATGCTTTCTAAGTTGGAATTCAGCTCATACCACAGAAATTATTCAAGTGGTGATCGTGATGACAATAATGACAGATTACCAAACAAGGGGAGTGTGTCAAGTTCTTAAAACCATACTTACATCCTAAGAAAAGAATGCCTATAGAGCCTGTGGAGACAGATTCTGAATCTTTCTTATACCGGGCTAAATCCACTGCCAATGAATTCTGATGGGCACCATGGAAGTCCTTAAAAAAATACTAATAACAACCATTTATTGAGAGCTACTGTGTTCCAGACACTGACCTGTGTGCTTCAGATACATTAACTAAGTTAACCTCCCAGGCACCTCATTAGAGGTAAGAACTGCTACCCCACTTACAGAAGACACCAGGGGCACCTGGAAGGCTCAGTCAGTTAAGTGTCTGACTCTTGATTTCAACTCAGGTCATGATCTCAGGGTCATGGGATCAAGCCCCGCACAAGACCCGCATCAGGCTCCCTGCTCAGCGGGCAGTCTGCTTCTCCCTCTCCCTCTGCCCCTCCCCCTGCTCTCTCTCAAAAGCCCCAGTAGCCTCCTGATGGGTCTCACCAGGCGTACCTCTCTCACTCCTCTGATGAACCGCCAGCACCAGACAGACCTTCCAACAATCCCTCCTGCACCGCGAGGCCCATGTGCTCAGCACCCTCCAAGGCTTCTGTGGTGCCCACACGGTGACTTCCAACCCCCAAGCCCAGACCTCAACAGGCCAGCCCACAGATCTCCCCAGATTCGTCTCCTGGTGTCTGCCAGCAAGACCCTCTGGGCCTTCTCCCCTCACAGACTCTGTGATATCGCGATATCACACTCACCCCTGCTTCCCCGCTATTGTTCACACTGTGTGATCAAGATGCATCTCTCTCCATCGGCCCCTTCACACATTCTTCGTTCATCTGCTCATTCATTCTTTCATTCGTTCATTCAACACACATTTGTTGAGACTGACTGGGTGGGGGCTGGAACGCATAAGACAACCTGCTCTCAGTAACTCACCCATACAAAGTCTACCATCCTGAGAATCCACTGTCTTATGTTGTGAATTGTCTTACGTCACTTTTCTTTCCCCCAGTAAAATATCCTGGAGAAATGGAGATTTTAGTACCTCTCACTGCCCTTAGTGCCCCTCACCTCCGCACAGCAGGTCACCATATTAATGACAATGAACTCTTTCTGGCCAATTCATATTGCCTAATATAATCCAGGATTCACTCCCCTTAAAATGTGAACTCCTAAGTGAACTCCTAAGTGAACTCCTGAGACATCTGTTACAGTGTCACAAGAGGTTGGTGGCAACTGTGACAGCCATGTCATTCTTGCCCTCGCTGCCTGTGGCCCCACATCGTAGTGAGTCAGGCAGACGTGGTCCAGTCAGCTGCACAGGTGGACGCAGTGTTGGTCTCCCCTCCTCGCAATTAGTTGCACTTCGATTCCGTCTCAAGTGATTACAATTCTAAATCACACTGGACTCGATCCGCAAACCAGTGAACTGAACAAAGGATGGGAGACTGGGGAGGTGACCAAGGGAAGCATGGTTTCAAGAGAACGCCCATTAGGCCACTGACATTCAGGGAAAACAAACTTACACATCAGCCGAAGCAGAGAGAGCGCCTCAAGGAAACATGGCGGCATGGATAGGTGTGCCAATATGATGGCTGAGTGTGTGTGCGTGTGTAGGTCAAGCTCAAAGCAAATATAGAGTTCCACCAGCATAAAAAGCTGTAAGTTTTTGTGTGGATTCCATTCAATGGAGGCCGTATTATCTGTAAGTTCATCAACTGAAAAGCTGTTTAAAAAGGAATTTTTATATAATCCAATTCAAATCTTCAATCTAGTAACAGGCATTGATTTATAATGATTGACAGTTCATGTTTTCCAAGCGGCATAGCTTTTATTCTGAAAAATACTCTAAGTGAATGGAGTGACTTCAATTTACAGAAGTATCTTTATTCGTTACAAAATCCTATAAGGCAACAATCAATCTTCCTTAACCTACCCTTTGTCCACTTAACCCCACAAAACAGAAACCACACCAATACCAAAATAATAGGAATAGCAAATAACTCTTTGAACCAGAATGATTGATTTAAGAGTGTCTCCTAGAATTTTTCCATAATTGTTGTTAAATTATTTATCACTTAAATAAGTCACAGTTATAAAATAAGCAATAAATTACTCTTACCTTCTTCAGTCATATACTTGATCAGTTCTTCCCTAGTCAGAAATCCACGTTTAGATGGATCTAACACCTAAGAGAAAAGAAAGGGCAGATATTATAGTTTTTGTTTGGTGAATAAATTCTACAGGATGAATTTTTCATATACATACATATATATAAAATCTGGAGCTTACGTACCTCAAACGCTCGAAGAAGCATATCTTCTGGACTTGGTCTGTATCTAATTATGCAGTAAAAGGGGCACATACCACAGTATTTAGCTCAGTCTCTACACAATAAATGATCACATAAAATGAAATAAAAGCTGCTAAGATACAAGGATAATAATATTTCCCTCACTGAAACATGTTTGGATTTCTAGATCTGAAAGTTGAAAGTACTCCACACCCACAGAAGACACTTGGTTCAAAATCACTGGCCTATGTGATATCTATTAGCCTTTTTCATCATTGTGAAAATCAACTTATTTGGAAACAAAATTTCTACAATAAACCAACTGTGGTAAGGTAACATTACACGTTCCTTAGAAAAAGAGGTAGGGTGAATTCTCACTGATAGCTCACAATAGAAGATAATAAACATGTTGTTGATTTATGACTTTTGTGGCATTTTTGCTCTGTAATTACACTTTGCTTATAAGATTAATACAAAAGTGGTTGATATTTCTAAGCACATTTCACCTGGCAGTTCAGAGGTATAGTGAAAAGTCAGAGGGAGCTATCCCAGGATAAATATTTGGTTGAGTATAATATACAAAGTGAAAAAGCCAAGTGTTTTGAAATTAATGGAATTCTAATCATTACTTTCCCTTAACAATTGCATGTACCTTCTTACCTTCGCTCCAGTAGTACTTTGGTCATCACTGGAAGAAATTTTTCAAATCGAATGTATCCAGTGGGTTCTTCTTCCTCTACCTAAACATTCAGCAAAATATAGCCACATATTACTTCAACGAGTGTATTGAGCAACTCCTTTTCACTACGCCAAGGGCTAGGAATTTGATAATGAGCATTCTTGGGCATGGTCTCTGCTCATAGAGTTTCTATTTGGTCGTGGAGACATAGATTAACCAAAAAACAACAGAGCTGAGTGTCTAATTATAAACACAGTGAAGTGAAGGAGCTTGGGTCTATTAGAGTGGAGAGCAAAGGAAAGTTCTAGGCCAGATCAGGAAAGGCACTCATGGGGAAATCACACCAGAGCTGACTTATAAAGTGTGAGTAGAAGCCAGCAGGGACAAGACTCCAGGCAGAGGAGGCCTTGGAGGCCAGGAGGCTAGGGGGCGTAGGGAGCAAGGAGGAGAATGTTTCCAGATGAGGCTAGAGGGAGAGAGAGACACCAGACCTTGCAGCGCCTTATGGTCCATGAAAGTGGCTTTGGTTGTTATCCTAAGACCAACGGGAGATCCCTGAAGCTCTGGTAGATGTGCTTGTGAAAGATCACACTGGTTGTGGGCAAGGCGGCTTCTGTGGTGGACTCAGCAGCTGTGATAGAGCTTGGATTAGAGTGGTGGCCATGGGGGAGAAGTGAATGGTTTCAAGAAATATTTAAGTAGTAAAAGCCATAGGACGCAGGGACACCTGGATGGCTCAGTCTGTTAAGTGTCCGACTCCTGGTTTCAGCTTAGGTCATGATCTCAGGGTCGTGAGATCGAGCCCCGTGTGGTGTTCCACGCTCAACGGGGAGTCTGTCGGAGGTTTTCTCTCTCTCCCTCTTCCTCTGCCCCTTGACCCAGTCATGTGTGCATGCTCTCTCTCTCTCAAAATAAATAAATCTTAAAAAAAAAAGGGGGGGCAATAGAACCTGGTGCTGCATCTATTATGGGCAAGGATGAGAAAGAAGAGAGGAGTCAAGGATTCTGACTTGCACAAATGGGATGGAGTAATGCTTTTCCCTGTGATAAGGAACATGGGATAAGGGACCAGGTTAGGGGACCAATCATATCTCAAGGACAAAAGTACATATCAAATCACTGTAATAATTACTAAATGCCTACATGGTTAATGGAATTTGTTATACCACCACTAAATAAGAGAACACTACACCTGAGAAAGAGAAATTTGGTATCTAGCACTGTTAGATGAGAAGGAGAGACTCCTGCCCATAGGTTCACTTTGATGGTGTGGATGAATAAAACACTATTGATCTGAACTTTCATGTCAGGCTATTTACAAGGAGCTATAAAATTTCTACTCCCTTTCAAAAATCCCATTAAAAGGCTCATCTATCCCAGTTCAACAGAGGACCTTTGAAAAGATTTATTCTTTGAGCAAAAAATAAGAAATCTGTAAGATGCTGCTAAGTGGAATACCCTGTTGTCCAAATGACTGTTTTCCAGTATTTATACTGGATGCTCTCACCTAGAATGAGCAGAGCCCTTGGATGCCACTATCAACAGAAATTGTCATCCATCTAATGACGGAATGATACTCCAGAATCTCTGAGCCCATCAATACATGAACAATTCTTTCAGCTGCCCCTACGTACAAGGCAAGATTTTGCAAATTAATGTTCATCTGGCTCCGATGTGCTGGAGTCACACTCTGTAACTACCTACCCCAGGAGCCTCTTAAAAATAAAATGTCAATCCCATGAGACGACCTTTGGAGGGACAATTTTTAAATTAAAATGGTGAGTTTCTATGCTGATTACTCCAGAAATGTGCTCCAAAAGCTAGAGCAATGGTTTGTTTCCCTCTCCCCCTGCCCCGCCCCCCCACAAATCACCATGGAGCAAACAGTCTTGACCTTGAGAGATCAAAACCCCTCTGTATTTTATGAGCATCCTCATCAATCTACAAATGGTTTGTAGTGTTTCCAAAGGAAATCCACCTCTCTAGCACTCTCTCTACCACGCAAGAATTCACAACACATAGTATGTGCCTCGTGATGCTCCCCGGGCTCCCACAGGACTTCCATGAGCCCCCAGGGCTCTGAACGCCAGGGTGAAAATGGCAATCATTCTTGCCCCATCTATCTGTGAAGAGCCAAAACTGCACAAAAACAGCAAGTTAAAGCAGATCTCCAGCTAATCGGGATAGCAGAGGAGGCATACATTTTCTTTGACTTTTTTTTAAAGTCAAAGAGGAATAATGAATAAACAGAGGGCTTGTGGTTACAAAGGAATAGGAAAAATAAGTAAATCCATCTTCATCTTGGGCAGATTGTGAAAATCTTTCTATGACCCAACACTGTCCTCTAGAGGCCACATCTAATCCCTTCCTCTGTACAGAAAGACATGCAATGGCATAAAAACAATACAACTATATGGCCATTCTTAATACAGTGTTAATAACCTGTTTAATATATACTAGAAAATATTTTATATTATAAAAGGTTTTTTAGGATTTAACCTTTTGGGGCACCTGGGTGGCTCAGTCGGTTGAGCGTCTGCCTTTAGCTCAGGTCATGATCCCAGGGTCCTGGGATCCGCAGGATTGGGGCTCCCTACTCTGGGGAGTCTGCTTCTCCCTCTGCCTCTGCCCCTCCCCCCTGCTTGTGCTCGAGCACACTCTCTCTCGAATAAATAAAATCTTTAAAAAAAATAACCTTTTTATTTTAGAATAGTTTTAGATTTAGATTTAGAAAAGTTGCAAAATAGTGAAGAGTTCCCATTATACCACCTACCCAGTTTTCCCTGTTGTTAACCCTTAGATCACTATGGTACAACTTTAGTTGGTTTGTTGTCACAATTAATGAAGTGATATTAATACATTAGTATTTACTAAACTCCATGATCTATTTGGATTCCATTTGTTTTTCTAAAAGACATTTTTCGGGATGCCTGGGTGGCTCAGTCAGCTAAGCATCTACCTTTGGCCCAGGTCATGATCTCAGAGTCCTGGGATTGAGTCCTGTGTCAGGCTCCTTGCTCAGCGTGGAGCCTGCTTCTCCCTCTGTGTGCAGCTCCCCCCTGCTTGTGCTCACTCTCTCTCTGACAAATAAATAAAATCTTTTTTAAAAAAGTCATTTTTAAAATATGGTAATTCCTCTATCATAATGAGGAAACAAGATTCTGGGACTCTGGAAACAAGAGTGGGGACAGGGAAGGATAAGATGTGATTCTATTATTTCTGGTGCAGACAAGCTAGTTAACCTTATGAGGCCATAGTAAGACAGGACAAAAACACTACTTTCCAGAAATGTTACACAATAATGGCTCAATGGTTATTTAGACCCACATATTAAAATGCCTTTAAGGGGCACCTGGGTGGCTCAGATGGTTAAGGGTCTGCCTTCGGCTCAGGTCATGATCACAGGGTCCTGGGATCAAGCCCCACATCGGACTCCCTGCTCAGTGAGGAGCCTGCTTTTCCCTCTCCTTCTCCTGTTCCTGCTCCCCTGCTTGTGCTCTCTCGCTATCAAATAAATAAATAAAATCTTAAAAATAAAATAAAATAAGGGTGCCTGGGTGGCTCAGTTGGTTAAGCGAACTGCCTTCGGCTCAGGTCATGATCCTGGAGTCCCGGGATCGAGTCCCGCATCGGGCTCCCTGCTCGGCGGGGAGTCTGCTTCTCCCTCTGACCCTCTTCCCTCTCGTGCTCTCTATCTCTCATTCTCTCTCTCTCAAATAGATAAATAAAATCTTAAAAAAAATAATAAAATAAAATGCCTTTAAGATTTCATAGAAATGTATCACGTATCGAACTATATTCGTGTGTGTGTGTGTCGAAGGGGGATATATACATAGATGTAGGGAGAGAGAGTGAGTTAGGGGTTGAGTGTGTCCTCCCCAAACTCGTATATTGGTGTCCTAACCCCCAGTACCTCAGAATGTGATTTATTTGAAGAGAGGTAATTTACAGAGGTAATCAAGTTAAGATGAGGTAATTAGGGTGGGCCCTAATCCAATATGACTGGTGTCCTCATAAAAAGGGGAAATTTGAACACAGAGACATGCACACAGGGAGAATGCCATGTGAGCATGAAGACAGCCATCTACAAGCCACAGCAAAAGGCCTGGAACAGATCCTCACAGACACCAGAAGGAACCAACCCTGCCTGTGCCTTGACTTTGTACTTCTAACCTCCAAAACTGTCAGTTAATAAATTCCTGTTGTTTAAGTTATTTGTGATACTCAGCTCTACCAAACACACACACACACCCACACACACATACATACACACACACATTCTAAGCATACATGACACATTGTAACCCAAAGACTTTGAATCACTATCAAGCTTAAGTCCCATTAATTATCAATTGGAGATTAACAAAGCAGATATTCGAAATTCAGAACTGATTTTACAGAATTGATACAGAGAAAATAATGCAGCCCAGATCTACTTTCTCCAAGAAAAAACTCAATTAACCGACTTATAACGAAATGAACTCAAGAAAGACCCCCAGGTAATAGGGGACATGTTGGAAAACACTAGGAATTCATGGCTATTTCTTCACTCTGAGCAAAGCCATAGTGGGAAAACCCACTTCTACCCTGTACTGGAGAGTTTCTTTACAAAAAATGGATGTTGCCTTTCTCATGGAAAAATATCACAATCTATTCAGCATATCAGACCAAGAACAGTTTATAAAAGATTCTGACTACTCTGCCCCCCTCGCGTCCTCCTCTGTAGCAGGTCTACCCGACACGGCTGCCGTGAAGTTCACATGAGACATGACAGGAGGTTCTGCGAACTGTGAGTCTCTTGTTATGATTATGATGATTTCTATCAACAGTGCACACACACCTGGTTCTCTATCGTGCAATGACACCTCCTCCCGAAAGAATCAATCTCTGGTGCTGAAATCTCCAACACAGCCTCCTGGACCCACCAAATGGACCTAACTTGTGTCTGTAAATGCCACACGGCCTGTGGCGAGAACGTGCTTCATTGCGGGGCCGATCTACTACCCTGTGCCTGGCCCCGCCCCCGGCCGGGAGGACAGGGCATGCGCCTCCCCCTCCACC